AGAGAGAGAGAGAGAGAGAGAGAGAGAGAGAGAGAGAGAGAGGGGCTTACCAAAGAAACAGAGAGAAAGAGAGGCTGAACCGCAAAAATAGAAAATGCGTCAAATTGCTACTGCAATCTATTTCGCAGTTGAAATAATTTCTTAAAATTTATTTAGTATTTTCCTGGAAAGATCACAACAAAATGTCCGAGCACTCCAATTATCAGATTTTTCACGCTTCTGTTACTGAAAGATGGAGTACTACTTGTGTTGGCCCACACATGGCTGAGTGGCAAAAATGGAAAATGCACTGAATTGGCGCGGCGATTATTTTGCGGTCATAGTGATTTTTAATAAGTTCTCTGATATTTTTCCAGGGAAGACCACGGCCTACTATTTTCAGATTATTCTGTGAATTCTTCTGAGCACAAAAAAATGCCAAAATTGCCTCTTGCAAAGTTCACTCGTGGTATGGGAGTCGCACGACGCATCCCCCTCTTCATTGGATGACCCATCCCAACTTCCTACGGGGTCCAAACAACCGACCGGTCGTCCATTTTCTCCAAAGGCACCGGTTCTAGAAGACATTCCTATCGGTTCTTTGCAAAAATCGTGAAGGACCAGTCTTTATATAACTTTCGCCCCTAAAAAACCCACCTATATGCTGGTCGTCTGCCGTAAAAAATCTGGCACCTTGACACAAATGCTCAAGCCCACCATACTGCTGCCGTACGGCTGCCAACAGCAGCCACACTGTCCACATCCATTTGTGCCGCCTTGGATACTCTTTTCCCCAGCCTCCATGTGGAACTCCCGACAAAGTTTCCGCCTCGACGTTTTCCGCGCCTGGGACTAGCTACAATGCCTCGGCCTGGGGAAAAACAATTCATTACCCCTTCTAAGTTCATTTTGGGGTCTGCTACAAACTCACGACCGGTCTTTGGTTTCTTTAAAAGTACTGGCTCTAGAAGAGCTAGCTGTCAGTCCTCCGCAAAATCATGAAGGACCAGTCCCCTCAACTTTTACCTAGTTCATCGTTGTGTCCCTCGACGACATACTTATCTTTAGAAGAAAAATCGAGGAGCATGCTCAGCATCTAGAAACTGTACTTCCACTCCTTCGACATCACAAGTATAAGATTAACTTAGAGAAATGCGAGTTTGGTCGCACAAAAGTCTTGTACTTGGGTCCTGAGATATCCACGGATGGGATAAGACCCCAAGACGCCAAGGTGGCTAGCATTCGTGAAATAGCCACGACCTTAGTCTGTGACCGAGGTCAGATCTTTCTTAGCGATGACCAGCTACTACCGCAACTTTGTAAAGAACTATACTACGGTGGCCAGCCCTTCGACTGATCTGACTCGCCTTGACACACAATAAGAATGGACTGACAAGTGTGAAGCTGCTTTCAAGTGATTGAAGCATGCTGTCACCCATCATGAGGTTCTCATGGTTCCCGATCCAGAGAAGCCATTTGTTGTGACCACTGACGCAAGCCAATAATGCATTGGTGCAGTGCTGGCTCAACAGGAAGGGAAAAAGTTGAGGCTGATCGAGTACATGAGTAAAAAGGTGCCATCAAAGAAGTTGGCGAAGTCCACCTATGAAAGGGAAATCTACGCCCTCAACAAAGCACTTGTCCATTGAGACACTATCTGTTGGGAAGGTTCTTCTATTTGAGGACTGACCATCAGCCACTCAAGTGGATCAACACACATCCTGTTCTCTCTTATGCGGGCACACGCTGGATTGAGGTCATAGACCAATATGGGCTGTCACGTAGCGCAGACTACCTAGGTGCGCTAATAACCGAGTTTGGCTTATCTGATGATGTAACTCGGTCGATGGTGGAAAGCTACAAGGAGGATCCTATCACGATGGACATCATACGCAAACTTGAGGCCCAAGACAAGGCCTTTGACGAGTTTGTGATGGTGGATGGGTTACTCTTCCTTGAGAAGTCAGGGTTTAAGAGGTTAGTAGTTCCATCTAGTGAGATTTTGCGCAGTGTAATGACCCGCCAAAACACAGACTGAGAACACTGTTGATTTCTGGGATTTGCTGCTGGAATGAATGCCTTGCTGAGATTCCCGCATTTTGCTGTGATTTCTAAGTCTGTGTGTGTGTGCATGCCTGCTGGTTTGTGTGCCTGTCTGAGTGTTTGTGGACTGAGTGTGTGTGTGACCCGCAAGGGTACTTGTTGGTTGAAAGGCCCCGCAGGGCCTGTACTTACCTGTGGCCATGACTTTGAGGGTTGCAGTGGGGAAAACACTCAAGTAGCGGGGGTAGGCCCGTGACACTTAGAGCAGTGGGGAAAAACACTCAAGTAGCAGGTAGGCCGGTACCGCTCAAGTAGTGGTAGAAGTGTCGGGTACAAGAGGCCGAGCAGAAGAAGACAAAAAGTTGGCATTTTTAGAGGCCCAATAGCGGTAGGTTAGAGGTAGGCCGGTACCAGTCCAAGTAGCTTGAGTCTAGGGCCTGTCCGGACGATAGCAGAACCTGCAATGATGTTTCCCGCCGAAAGGGAGGAGGTACCGGTTGCTGGGAGGCCGCTTGGCCTAGGAAGTGACCGCGCAGAAGGCCAATAGGCCGCTATATCTTCTGGAGGAGCAAGTAGCTCCTCCTCATTTGCGGTATGCAAGGATTGGCAAGTCGAGCGTTGCCTGGAGGAGAAGAGCAGCTGGGCACTCAACCTGGCTATGGCGAGCAGCCCAGCTTGAGGAGGAAGAAGGGGGCGAAGGAGGAGAGTGGCAAGGTACCTACCTGGCTATGGTGGACACCATCTTCATCACCTCGTTGGGCGCTGCATCTGGAAGCCCCCATTTGGGGTACCAAGGAAGCTCGAGGCAGAGTCAGGCATGGCGGCTTAGTCAACAAAGACATAGTTGCTTTGGGTTGTCCTTTGGACAAGAATGCAACGACATAGCTGCTTTGCGTTGTCCTTTGCACAGGAGGGCAAAGCCCTCAGTAGTCCACCATAGCCTAGGCATGTGAGAGGTGGAGGAAGGGGGAAGCCATAGCTATGGTGGACGTGTTGTTGTGTCAGCAGTAAGAGGGAACTTCGGATATTGATTCTGGTTCATCCACTCATTGTTATTATTATTATTGGAAGAAGAATAAGATTGGCGAAGTGAAGGAGGAGGAGGAAGGTGGAGAGAGAAGGGGGATTTGTCATTGGTCTTGCTAGTGTACATCTTCTTCTTCTTCTTCTTCTCTCTCTCTTCTTTGGTCTTTATCCATTTGCAAGTACTTTCATTTCTTTCGCAATTGGGTGGCATTGTCTTTCATTGTGAATTTGCACTTTGGGAATGACCAGGATCGTAACAATTGGTATCGGAGCGGACTTACCTGCTGGCGAGAGGTGTTAGTCACCCTAAACCTAATTTCGAATGAGGTTAGGCTGACCTAATATCGGATTAGGGTTGGGAGTTAGGGTTAAGAGGGGCAGTGAGGTATGTGGATGCTGCCCCCACCTGGTTAGGTAATGTAGGGTCGACATCAGACCTGACCAGGTTGCTTGTGTGATTGAATGGGGTGGCGAAACACAAAGGAGGCTGATTGGAGTAAGCGATAGTGAGTAGAGAGTGAGAGAGAGACTTGATCGGAGGCTGCCATATCTGCATCGAAGAGCTGCAAGTTGCTGCTTTGGTCTTCAAACATCGACGGAGTATCCGACGTTGTAATAGGGGTGTAGGGAGGCCCTCTTAGTCATGCTAGGACACTTCGTGTAGTGGTAGCTAGGGGTCAAGAGAACCTATGAGAGAGGGGGGTGAGTCGTTATCCATCTTTGGAGGCCAGACCTCACAGGTAAGTGCCGTGTGACCTGGGTATGCCCGTGGGAGGTTGTTTGGTGCTTCATGGCCTGTTGGGGTGTGCTGGGCTCTCTTCTTCTTCTCTGCGGTCTTGGTTGTGTGTGTGAGCATGTGAATTGCTTTCTCACCTGATGGATGGATGGATGATGTATCTTGTTCTCAATGACCAATTTTTCTATAGTGCATTGTCTATTCATTTTTGAACAACTGTAGGGGTAGGTTCGTGCTGAAAATTGTCTTTTCCTTTTCAGTACGGTAGAGGCAGTTTGGGACTGACTTGGTACACCTATCTCGTTGGTCCTGGTCGACGACCTACTTGGGACCCTTTCGGGACTCAGTGGGACCAGGCCCAATGGGACAGGAACTTTAGGACCCAAATCTGTTGTTGCCAGTGCATCTCTTTGCTGTGCTGAATTTGGGGGACATCCGGCTAGTAAGAACATCCCTTTCAAGGGGATCTTGACTGGTCTTACTGCTTGTTCTCACACGCTGCCCCACGTTTGGCTCGGCGACCGTCTTCACCCCTCGAAATCTCCATTGGTGCAGTTAGTTTTCTTCGGTTGACTTATTTGTGGTACATGTTCCTTGTCACGTTAGACAAGAGGGGATCTCCAACTAATTTTATCGGGCCCGTTCGTTATGTTAGTCCTCTCTTTCATTTGTTTTTATTTATTCATTTTATTCTGCTGCGTGAATGCCATTTTCTAAGTCCAAATGACTTGCCGCTCCGACTAGGAGTTCTACCTTCTGCTCTTTATGATTTATTGTTTTTCTTTTATCTGAACTATCTATGTCCAGTATTGAGACGAGTGCGCAGAAAGCGAAAAGAGAGATAAGGGAGAGAGAAGGTATTCTTTTTGAGAGTGTGAGGAGGGTTAAGAGGAGTGTTCGTCCAAACGCGAGCAAAGAGCGGACCCGTCTTGAGAGATCTACTGACACCCCATCTCATCCGCATAATGGAAGGTCATGCTGGACGCAGCGGCCGAGAGCGAAAAACCGTTCTTTCAGAAACTCTATGAGGACGCAATACACAGCGAGAGGGAGGCAGAGGCAGCAGCCAAAGCCACAAGTATTGCTACACAAGTGACCCTCCTCGAGGCTCCGGAATCTAGTGATGCCCGGTTCCAAGAGAAGCTAACTGCTGCTATAGCAGCCTTGGTTCAACTGCGGACCTTGGAAGACCTTGAGTCCCGTGTGACAACTCTAGAGCAACGGAACCAAGAGCCGCAGGCTCAGATCATCAACCTCAAATAAGCCCAACTGGCTGCCCCTCGTCCTCCTAATCCTCGTCCCGCTGCAGTCCTAGTTTCTCACCCTAACATAGTCCACATGCAGAGAGCAAGTGAAACTGTGATGAGGGCAGGAACTGGTGCCAGCTCCTCAAGCGGCAACTTCGACAGTTCTGCACTGGTCCCAGTCCCAAATGCACAAACATTAGCCCAAAACGCCGCAGTTCTTACTGGCGTACAATACAACGGTCCCATGGTGGACAAGAGGGCAGCCACACTGCTGTCCAAGTACGACGGGAAGGGGGATATCACCTCTTGGATCAGCTCCATGTGCTCATACTTCGAGGTACTGCGAACACCTTAGGAAGACCGAAGCATAATCATGGGCACAAATACGGAACCCGCCGTACGGAGTTTCATAGAACTCCAAGCTGTTATTGTAGGTTATGAGAGAATTGACCTGACTCAGTGGATGAAAGTAACCCCTGTACGAACTCTTGAGGACCTCCTCATCGCGCAGTATCAAGATAAGCATGCTGCGCTCAAGGCAAGGCTAAAGCTTGAGACCCTCAAGGGCCAAAAGTGAAGGACTTCCATGCAGGCTTTGGAGCAGCACTTGACTGGTCTGTTCACCACTTCAAACCTTGGATGGACTGACGTGTCTTGCATGGATGTAGTAATGGGAGTAGCCCCTGAAAACTATGTCTCCCGGCTAGGACTCAAGGACCATACGACCTGGCGTGAGCTACTGACGGATCTAGTCAACCTAGAAGCCAAAGACCTCGCCAGGCGTGCGAAGACACCCGCCCCAGGTAAAACTTGACGACGCAAGCGGTACGAAAGAAGCAACCAGCTTGCCCTACATGAGCATCGGGAGGCTGAGGATCAGTCCTACACGGATGATCTGTCTTTAGATGACGATCTAGAACCAGACTCCGATATGGGCTGTTCTACATCAACCCTTGAGTCTGACATCAAGAAGAAGAAAAATGGAATGCCTTCGAAAAGACTGCTTCAAGCAAGGGGCCTAACCGTGGTTAGGGTAGGGGAACTATAGCACACCTCCCCAAGAATGCACAGATCCCTGAGAAACCAGAGGATGCTTCCACCAAGCCTTGGGAAACCCTCCACATTAGTCAAAAGGAATGGGAGAGAAGATCCAAACTATGCGTGTGCTTGCATTGTAAAAACTTGGGGATGGTGTGCAGGAATGTTATCGTCTGTAGGGAAACAGGCAAAGGGCATAAAAGAGTTATCAACACTCTCTATAACAAGGGAAGTTGAGCAGTCAGCTGCAGGTCTCTCCCAGGAACCTGAATCTGATCAACAACCTGCTCTTGAAACCCAGACTGATGTTGAATCCAAGGTTGCCGCAGTCCAAGTATTTTACACTGAGCCTTGGGAGGAGATTAAGGAAGTCAACTTCCACTCTCACCTGGAACATTGGCTGCAGCTCAAGCAGCAACATTGTGTTCAAGGGAATGTGGAACTGATCTTCCTTAAGCTGCTCATTAACCGTCGATACATCCACGTGTTGATTGATAATGGCTCAACGACTAATTTCTTTTCTCCTAATGGGATCCGTAAGGCGGGCCTGGGAATGAAGCAAGTGGAATTGCAGAACCCTTGTCAGACCCAGGTAGGCAACCAAGAGGTTGTCACCTCAACACATGTTGTCAAAGGTGTGTGCGTCACCTTTGACAAGGATCGCACTGTCACAAATGAGCTAAACTTCTACATCCTGGACAAGTGTCCTTTCGACGCAGTCATTGGCTTGGGCTGGTTAAAGGCTCATTGTCTAAGGACCACGTGGGCAGATACTCAGTTCGTGGTGCGTGATGCAAAGGGGAACGAGTGTACCGTTATATTGACGAGACGCGCGAGTCCCCAGTGACTCTTTTGAGTGCAAACAAATTCTGCAAATCGGTACGCAGGCGCAAGGAAGCTAAGCATGTGCATGTAGCCCTTGTGAAGCCCCTCCATGTGCCTTCTACTTTTGCTGCATTTTCTACCTCGGAAAATAATTCTACTTCTACTATCTCTACATCTGTTCCATCTACTTCTACTGTAAAGAATCAGTCTACTTCTGATCCAAGTACTTCGAATTCGGTTGTAATTACTATAAATTCTCAACCTGATTTTCTCTCTCCTGATGAGGATGATCCTCCACCGGAAGTCCCAACAAACATTCGTCGTCTATTAGATCGATGTCCTGAAGTTCTGGCTGAACCTCCTGGAGTTTCCGCGCGTCCGGTCAAACACAAGATCGAGATAATAAAAGGGAGTGTTCCTCCAAAGGCCTGCGTCTACCGTATAGGACAAGGCGAGTTGGATGAGTTGAGGAGACAAATTGACGATATGATTGAGACAAGGCGAGTTGGAAGAGTTGAGGAGACAAATTGACGATATGATTGATCGTGGATGGATTATGCCTAGTGAGTCCGAGTTCGGTGCACCTGTTCTGTGTGTGTCAAAGGAAAGAGGCAAACTCTGGATGTGTATCTACTATCGTGGCCTAAATCAGATCACCAAAAAGAATGCTTATCCTTTTCCTCACATAGATGATCTGCTAGATGTGGCAGGTGGGTGCAAGGTGTTTTCCAAGATTGACCTCAAGTCTAGCTACCACCAGAATGAAGTTGATCCGAACGACCATCACAAAACTGCATTCACAACACGCGATGGGCTGTACGAATTCATTGTTAGGCCCTTCGGTCTTACGAATGCACCAACCACATTTCAGTGGCTCATGGATAAGGTTCTCCGCCATCAGCTCAACAGGTTTGTAGTTATTTACCTTGACGACATCCTGATTTTCAACAAGTCCATGGAAGAGCACGTCAAGCACCTTGAGGAGGTTTTGCAGGTCCTCAACAAAGCACAACTGCACCTAAACTTAGAGGAATCTAAGTTCGGAAGGAACAACGTCATCTATCTTGGGCACCGGTTGTCTACAAATGGCCTTGAGCCGGAGGCAACCAAGGTTGAGGTCATACGAAAGTGACCTCAACCGGCGAACGTACGCGAACTGCGTTCTTTTCTTGGTTTGGCCTCGTATTACCGGAAGTTTATGCCCAAATTTTCTTTCATTACTCACCCACTCTCGAGACTAATAAGCAAAAATGTTGCTTATGCGTGGTGTGAGAAATGCGAGACTGCATTCCAAGCCTTGAAAAAGGCTTTGGTAACTCATCATGTGCTCCGCATTGCGGATCCCAACCTCACGTTCGTAGTCACTACGGACGCGAGCCAGTATAAGATTGGTGCAGTGCTGCAACAAGATGATGGCAATGACCTGCATCCGCTCGAATATTACAGCAAACGCATGCCCAACCACAAGGTAGCTACCTCCACATACATGCATGAGCTCTATGCCTTGCGAGAAACACTCACGCATTGGAAGCACTACCTCTCGGGTCGCCACTTCAAGATCTACTCAGATCATCTGACCTTGCAGTGGATCAAAATGCAAACTAATCTTTCCCCGACATTGACCCGCTGGCTGCATGACATTAATGTCTATAATTTTGAGCTGAAACATAAGAAAGGTTGTTATAACCGTGTTGCTGATGCTTTGTCGCGCCATCCTGAGTTTTTGACTTGCCTTGTGAGCTCGTATGACCTTCGAAAGAAACTGAAGGAGGATCTAGTCAAACAAACCGCCAAGGATCCGGACGTTAGTCCCATCCTTCAGCAGCGCAAGGCTGACCCTAGCAGTCAACCTGATTCTCACGAGTGCGAGGGTCTTGTAGTCCACCGGTATGGGAAGTTTGGTCGTCTGTGTGTACCCAACCATGCGCCTCTCCGAACTCATTTCTTGGATTTGGCACATGGTCGGAGTGGACAGTTCGGCTTTGAGAAAACTTATGAAAGTCTTTTGCAACAGTTTGATTGGCTGGGAATGAAGGGATCCGCTTAGAAATTTATTGCTGAATGTCAAGTCTGTCAAAGAACCAAGGTCCGTAGGCATAAGCCTTATAGCCTGCTGAAACCCCTCCCCATTCCTGATGGACCCGGTGAGTCGGTCTCTATCAATTTCACGGAGATGGGGAAGGTGAGCGAGTGAGGACATTCACAAGTTATGGTCATCGTGGATTGTTTTTCCAAAATTTTGAATCTGATTCCTTTACCTTCTCATGCACCAATTGAGCTTGTGATCGAAGAATTTGACCAGCAATACATTCTACAATATGGACCCCCGAAAACTCTTGTGAGTGATCAGGACACGAGGTTCATTAGTGCTGATTGGAAGGACTTCACTTCTCAGATCTACGACATTAAACTCAACAAGACTTTTGGTCGACACCCTGAAACCAATGGATTGGCCGAGGAAATCAACCAGACTGTCATTCAACTACTTCGCGCGTTAATTGTTCCAGATCAGAACACGTGGGACAAGGAGTTACACAAAGTGAAGGGGTTGTACAAAAACTCCATTCAATCTGCAACTGGCGTGACACCGAATCAGCTCCAATATGGTTGGCAGTTGCGCAATCCTCTCTCCTATCTGTTCCCCGAACGGTCCCCTGGTCTGACGCCCTGGCATGCCTGGCTACAATGCCAAGTATGCGCGCTTGCTCAAAGCTGCTATCGCAACGATGAACAAGCGTCGGCATGCCATGATCAAGCATGCTAACAAGTCGCGCAAAGAAGGAAACTTCGAAGTAGGAAGTTATGTCTGGGTCAAAATGTTTGAATTTTCTGACGAAGAGGGCGTATCACAGAAGCTTCTTCCACTGTACTATGACCCTTGGCAAGTTCTAAAGGTGGTTGGGGATGATTTTGGTCCTTCGTATGTGATTGACATGCCTCCTCATCTGCGCACGTATCCGGTCTTTCATGCGTCCAAACTGTTTCCACACATCGATGATGACACTTTTCCCTTCCGAGATCCTATGATACCTCATCCTATCAACGGTGGCCACAAAATAGACAAAATTGTTTCCCATGAAGGAAGAGGGAGGAACAAACATTATTAAGGTCACTTCCTTTATCACCCGTTGAACGAGTTCTACTGGATCGACCGAAAAAAGCTGCTAAAGAATGCTCCCCGTGTTGTTAACACTTATGAACGACGGATCGTCGATGGCCAGACTGCTAAGTTTTCTGTAGCACTCACTCCTCATGGTTATATTGAAACTCTCTTTCTGATCTACGCCAACGACGCATTTTGTGCTGACTCTGAATGAGTTACTCGCTCGAAGGGACCTCGTTCTTGAGAGGGGGGTAGTGTAATGACTCGCCAAAACACAGACTGAGAACACTGCTGATTTATAGGATTTGCCACTCGAACGAATGCCTTGTTGAGATTCCTCCATTGTGCTGTGATTTCTAAGCCTGTGCGTGTGTGTGTGCCTGCTGGTTTGCGTGCCTGTATGAGTGTTTGTCGGCTGAGTGTGTGTGTGACCCGCAAGGGTTCTTGTTGGTTGAAAGGCCCCGTAGGGCTGGTACTTAGCTGTGGCCGTGACTTTGAGGGTTGCAACAGGGAAAATACTCAAGTAGTGGGGGTAGGCCCGCGACACTCAGAGCAGTGGGGAAAACCACTCAAGTAGCAGGTAGGCCGGTACCCCTCAAGTAGTGGTAGAAGTGTGAGGTACTGGAGGCCGAGCAGAAAAATACAAAAAGTTGGCATTTTTAGAGGCCCAGTAGTGGTAGGTTAGAGGTAGGCCGGTATCAGTCCAAGTAGCCTGAGTCTAGGGCCTGTCCGGACGATAGTAGAGCCTGCAATGATGTTTCCCTCCGAAAGGGAGGAGGTACCGGTTGCTAGGAGGCCTCTCGGCTTAGGAAGTGACCGCTGAGGAGGCCAGTAGGCCGCTATATCTTCTGGAGGAGCAAGTAGCTCCTCCTCATTTGCGGTATGCAAGGATTGGCGACATGCTGCTGGAGCCAAGTGCTGGACTTGTGCAGCGCTGCCTGGAGGAGAAGAGAAGCTGGGCGCTTAGCCTGGCTATGGCGAGCAGCCTAGCTTGAGGAGGAGGAAGAAGGGGGCGAAGGAGGAGAGTGGCGAGGTACCTACCTGGCTATGGTGGACACCATCTTCATCACCTTGTTGGGCGCTGCATCTGGAAGGCCCCAGTTGGGGTAGTGTCGCACCAAGGAAGCTCGAGGCAGAGTAAGGCATGGCGGCTTAGTCAGCGGCGGCATATCTTCTTGTCCTTTGGACAGGAATGCAGCGACATAGCTGCTTTGCGTTGTCCTTTGCACAGGAGGGCAAAGCCCACAACAGTCCGCCATAGGCTAGGCATGTGAGAGGTGGAAGAAGGGGGGAAGCCATAGCTATGATGGGCTTGTTGTTGTGTCAGCAGTAAGAGGGAACTTCGGATATTGATTCTGGTTCATCCACTCATTGTTATTATTATTATTGGAAGAAGAATAAGATTGGCNTCGGATATTGATTCTGGTTCATCCACTCATTGTTATTATTATTATTGGAAGAAGAATAAGATTGGCGAAGTGAAGGAGGAGGAGGAAGGTGGAGAAAGAAGGGGGATTTGTCATTGGTCTTGCTGGTGTACATCTTCTTCTTCTTCTTCTTCTATCTCTCTTCTTCGGTCTCTATCTCTTTGCAAGTGATTTCATTTCTTTCGCAATTGGGTGACATTGTCTTTCATTGTGAATTTGCACTTTGGGAATGACCAGGATCGTAACAATTGTTTATTTTTAGGAGAGTGTCATTGCAATGGGACATTTTGGCTATAAGAAGACTAGTGTCAATCAGGTATAATGATTTTGGTGGCGTGATATGCTAGACGAAGCCAAACAGTACGTTCAGACTTGTCAAGTTTGTCAGGGGACAAGCCGCGAACTCAAGCTCCGCTTGGGTTGCTTAAGCCATTGCCAATTCCTGCTGGTCCGGGACAGAGTGTTTCCATGGATTTCATGGATACCCTCGTGACCAACAAGAGTGACAAGAGGCATATCTTCGTCA